CTATTTAATAGAAAGGTTCACTAGAACCTTTCATTTCAAGATTATGACAACCTTTCATCCAGAAAATGCTGAAACATTTTAAAAAAAGATAGAAACAATTCTAGATACAATACTTTGGTTGTTACCCTTCTACCTAACAAGCATCAGAGATAACAGTATGTGTCCAGTTGGCTGACTTCTTGCCTCTCTATTAGAAACATAGTTATAGTAGGTTTAAATGATTTAGTTTTTGATTATTAACTTGTGAATTTCTATGAAACTTTTCAAGATAGTCCATGCAATATCTTTGAATGCGTGTGCTCAGTCATGTCCAACTCTCTGCAACCGCATGGACTGCAGCCTGCCAGGCTCCTCTGTCCATGGAGTTTTCCAGGCAAGGATACTGCAGTGGGTTGCTATTTCCTCCTCCAGGGGATCTTCCCAATCAGGAATTGAACCTGCATCTCCTACATTACAGGCGGATTCTTTACTGCGTAAGCCGTCAGGGGAGCTCTAAAATAAGACAGCTTCTAAGATCTCTGTGGGGCTTCCCGGGTGGTGCAGTGGTAAAGAACCCACCTGCCAATGCCAGCATTTTGAGATAACATCATATAAGCACTTTTAAATATCCACAATAATGGGAAAAGGGAATGACAGTGGCCTAGAACAATGCCTGTCATTTAGAAGGCTCTCAAGAAATATTTATGGATTGAATGGAGGAGGAACTTTAAAACTTCACATGAACTTTGAGGACCAATAAAGGGCTGAGATTCAGCAGATTTGGTCTGCTACTGCTCTGTAATCTTGGGCAATTTAAGTAACCTGTTAATATCTCAGATTCATTCTCCTTTAAGTGGCCTTAAGAGCCTTTGTACTCTACAGGGTTACTGTGGAGGGATGATTAGAGGATGCCCAAGAAAGCATTCTGAAAAGTCAAAAGATCTAATGCATATAAAAAGCCATCATTAGTCACACAGAATTGGACACATGGGCTCATTTCTACCCTGCAGCAGAATCAGATGTCAAACAAAGTTTAGGGTCCAACTTTTTGGCTCAGACTTCTTCAAAAATTTCTGACTGTGTGATCGGTGATATAACTGTAGTCTAGGTATATTGTTGAAATCGTGAACTTTTTTTTAATAATAAAAAAAGACACAGCAAGACCTCATACATCATCCAGTAGAAGCACTTTAAAAACTATGAAAATTGGTTCAACAAAAGATTTCTCATTCTTGAAGTATGGTAACAAGAAGACAGAAAAGAAGGGGTTCTAAATGGGATTCACAGACCCCACGGAGTTCAGAGATGGGCTTCAGGAGACCTCAAGATTTCATGTACAACACTGTGTTCTAGGGGAAGAATGAGCCAGAACTCCACAAGAGTTAAGAGTTGACTCAAGCTAGAGTTCTGAAGATAACAGTGATTCACATGCTTTCTTTTGCCTCTTCTATAATGTTTGTTTACATGATTCTCTCTTCATTCCTTGTTTTTCCTTAGTGTGCATCAAGACTACTGTAATGGCATTCAGGGGCTCTTACGTGAGTTGGTTGAGGGCAAAGTAAATGACAGTGTTGAATAAATATTAAATACAGAGTTATTAACATTGTTCTGATCACAATATCTTCAGAAAAGAAAAAGAACAAAAAGCAACACATTTCCTTTTTCACTGTATTAAGGACATATGAAAATGGGGCTGGGCATGCTTTTATGTTTAGACACACATCTACAGAGGTGGCTAGGGGACAAGACAATAGAATAAATGTGGAATTGAGAATGAGGTGAAAGTAGAATGGCAAACTGTAAATAGTCTAGAAAATGATAGTGGTAAAGTAGCAAAAAGCAACTATTCATAACTCTGACGAATGTCTCTAGTTACCCACTACTTTATGAGGCCTCCAAGCCAACTGGCTTCCAGTTTGGGAACACAGTGGAAACTCAATTTTTAAAATACTCATGTACACACTGCTATATTTAAAATAGATAACCAACAAGGACCTAGTGTATAGCACAGGGAACTCTGCTCAATGTTATGTGGCAGACTAAATGGGAGGGGAATTTGGGGGCAAATGGATATATGCATATGTGGCTGAGTCCCTTTGCTGTTCATCTGAAACTATAACATTGTTAATAGCTATACTCCAATATAAGATAAAAACTTAAAAAAAATACTTATGTACCCTAAAAATAATAAATCAGAGAGCTCAAACCAAGGATAAGGTAAATGAAATCCAAATCCCAGTAAACATTGAGAAAAAAAAAAAGACTGAACAATTACTCTGAAGTTTTTGTTGAACCATGATTAGAATTGAACTTTTAGGGAATTCCCTAGTGGTTGAGTGGTTAGGACTCCTTGCTTTCACTGCTGAGGACATGGGTTCCATTCCTGGTAGGGGAACTAAGATCCCACAAGCTGCTTGGTATGGCCAAGAAAGAAAGAGGAAATGAACCTTCAGAAAATGCTTTTCTAGAATATTTTCAAATGGTAATTGGCTTGAACATCACTAATCTGTCCAGGAAAAAAAAAATGTGCAAAACAAAACCAAACTTACACTAAAATAAAGTATGTCCTAGTTTTATCCTGCTGAACTATATGAAAAAATGGTTCACCACATATCTGAGGAAGTTAACCAGCTTTCTGGTCCAGTAAATTTGCGTTCTTTGATAGTAAGCATTGCAGCTTTGGGAATGGAACTCATGATCTGGCTGACGTGTGTGTTTTAATCGCTCAGTTGTGTCCGACTCTTTACAACCTTGTGGACTGTATCCCACAAGGTTCCTCCGTCCATGGGATTTTCCAGGCAAGAATACTGGAATGGGTTGCCATTTCTTTCTCCAGGGGATCTTTCCACCCCAGGGATCGAACTTGGGTCTCTCACACTGCGGGCAGACTCTTTACCATCTGAACCACCAGGGAAACCCTGAGCCACCCATGAAAGCTGATGTGTGATGCACTAAATAATTGTTCAGTAATTTAAGGGAAATGAAAACAAATAAAGATCCAGTTTTCTCTGACATTTATGGGTTAAACCTTCCCCTTAATAAGGCACAGGGAGATGATCCATAGATTGTTATATATGACAGCAAGGTTTTTGAAAATTTAGATACTGGTGACAAAAGCATAGAGATTTTGGAAACTGATTTTCTTTTCTTTTCTTTTCCCAGTTATTTTTATTAGTTGGAGGCTAATTACTTTACAATAGTGTAGTTGTTTTTGCCATACATTGACATGAATCAGCCATGGATTTACATGTGTTCCCCATCTGGAAACTGATTTTAGAATGTACTTGAAAATGTTAAGTTGATGACTGTTTTTAGTGATAGCTTTCAGTGCAAATTTGAAACCTGTAAAATCAAAGTAATAAAAGCCAAATTACATTCTTTATTTAAAAACAACTATATAGTTTTAGATGTGGCAAAATAGCTTATTTAACACTTGTCTAAGAAATATCAAGGTTGAATTACAAAAAAGAGATGAAAAAAGGAGTTTCTTGATAGCCTCTTGCTCAGATAACTGCTCTGTAAATCGGAAATGAATGAACACTTTTTGATTTGCTAATGTCTTAAAAATGCACAAAGTGCTATCAGTTAAAAGCTGTATGCAACGTCTTGGTCGCTTTTACTGTAAATAATGAATAATGTTTCTTAAAACACATTCAATTAATGTGGAACATGAGGTTAGCTGAACAGGAGGTTGCCATGTAGCTGGGATTGTGGGAAAAGAAGAGATAACAAAGAGAATGCTCTGCTAGCATTACAGTAACATTTCAGGATGTACTAACGTGCATATCTCTTCCACAGATAATTAAGAAGTCATTTTAAAAATGAATAATCTTGGTGAATGGTTTTGGTTTACATCTAAGAAAATTAGAGATCAGAAAAATTACAAAATAAGCAGCCTTATTTAATATGCCTCATTTCTGCTCTGGAGGGGCTGGTTGAGCTAATGCAACTCTTGTCCATTGCTGAGGGCACCACTAAGCAAGTTTATTCCTTGTTATCTTAGGAGTGATATGTTAGAAAAATGATCTTTTAAATGGTCATCTCTGCATCTCAACTTGTTTCTTCATTTCTCTTCCTCTGACAACTATCTATACTTTCCTTACATAATAAGAAATGTTAAGGAGCTCCTCATATGGAGTTCTTGAGGCTTAAAGGGGAGCCAGTTTCAACAGTGGCACACTTGTCTGTCCTTTAAATAAAATCTGTGGTGTAGTTGTTTATGTTTTTAATAAAAAATAGAAGCTTTCCAGAAATAACTTCAATCACACCTAAGTACTGGAGCATTATGGCTATTTCATGTTAGACCCCAACAGGCCTAATAGTTGAGGCCTGAGCTAGTTACAGAGATTGCTGCCATATGCAACAGGAACATTACAGCCAATGAAAAGGGCTTGAGGGATGTTCCTCCCTGTTTTGTGAAGGCGAATTTAAGGAATCCTGACCTAACCTGTGAATTGTTCACAATCTGTGTTTCCATCCTAAAATGCCCACGATTCTTAGGTTTTCAGTGAATCTGGTTGTTTTAGCTTTCCAATTCTGTCTAACCAAAGAAAAGACACTTTAACTACTTATTCAGACCAGCTGTACCAAATGCCAGGAACTGTCTGAGGCTCCATGCCAATATTGTGATTTCATGGAACTTTCTCTAATTGTCAGTGTAGTACTGCTGGGTCTATTTCCCTTCTGTATGTTTTTTTTTTAAAGAGAAGCCATGTTTAATATTGTGAAATATGACGCATCTCCTCCTCTCCCAGCCTCTAGAACAGTGATAAATTTCAGAGCACGCTCAGCGGAATTGGATTGTATTATGCACAGTACACATGTTCATCACCAGAACGGAACTCGCCAGAATGTATGCAAGTAGAATGAATTGCTGAGACTTCAAAATTTCAGTTCCTCACAACTGATTTTATTAGCCAACATATACCAAAGATGGACGGCAAAAGACGTGTCATTTTTGCAGTTTTCTTTCACCACTGGAGCCCTGTGCTGTTGTCGACTGTAGTTTTCCGGTCTTTTGATTAAGCCTTGCCTGTCGTGTGCTGCTGTAACATCAAAGTAACTGCTTTGCACCCTGTCACCTCCTCTGGCAGGCAGCCGTCCTGGTCTCGGAGGGTGGGGTCAGCCCCGGACTGGAGCAGCAGCTCCACAATGTCCAAAAACTCACAGGCAGCAGCTGATGGGGAAATTGACAAATATGGAAACCAGGTTACTGTGAGACAAAGAGAAACCACTAGACTTCAGCAGGAAAGGCAAGTGCTGAGCAATAAGAAATCCTGAAAAATGAGCAATGTGACAGACTGGGGGTGATCAGGCCTTGGAACGAAACAGTGCTGTGACAGTGGATTTGCTAGTGTTAAGAAAACCAAATTTACCTCTGTGTTTTCCCAGAAGCCAATAGACAGACAAAGACATTTTTTAAAATTGTGAGGCTTTTGTAGTTGAAGTATTTCTTTTACTTTGATCAAAATAATGATATGTTTGTAAGCTAAGTCAAAAGGCTTACTAGTTGAAGTATTTCTTTTACTTTGATCAAAATAATGATATGTTTGTAAGCTAAGTCAAAAGGCTAAAAATACTGTAAATGTAGAAGAAAAAACTTTTGTCTTTGAAGAGGGAGTAAGTGGGTAACTAACTGAACTTTAAAATTAGTTAAACAAAAACAAAAACAGTGGCCTAGTAATCAGACTATCCCTCTAAAGAAAACAAACCAAAAAAAAAAAGGCACCAATAAAACAAGGTGTGTGAAGAGGAAAAGGACCCACAGACATCAAAGCTTATCATGAAGATGGTACAGTATTGCCCCCAGACCAAAAGGCTAGAAGAGAGCCATCCTCTTGTGCACATGTAGAGAAACTTGACTTATGACAATGCTGGCATCAAAGATCAGTGAGTAAACGAAGCTCCGTTAAATCAGACGGCCCCGAGACAGCGAGGCTAACGGCAGAAACGGCATTTCACAGAGGATCAAATGTAAGTGGCAATAAACATATGAAAAGATGAGCAACCACACTAGTAATCATGGAAATAAAAAATTTCATACCCACTAGACAGCTGAAAATCAAAACCTGAGACAATACAAACATGGAGGAGGCCTGGAGCAAGGGGAGCTCCCCTCTGGACTGTGGGGAGCGTACACTGTGCCTCACTTTGGACACCCAGTTGGCATTACACATTGAACCTAAACATGTGCCCACCACTGGACCCAGCAATTCTACTCCTCGTTATATACTCTTCAGAAACCTTTGTGTGTGTTCTCCAGGACATACCTATAAGAAAGGACATACAGTAGCCCTATCTGTAAAAGACCCCAAATGTAAACAACTCAAATACACATTGAGAATAACATATAAAAATAAAATACTGTTTACATATACAGTGAAATCCCCATACAACAAGGAAAACTAATGAACTACAGTTTCACATGACATGAGTTCATCTCCAGATCTTAATGTTGAAGGAAAAAAAGCAAGTCAGAAGAACATACACAGCATGCTTCCACTTAAAATTTTAAAAGCAAACAAAGCTAAACACCATTGTTCGGAGACACAAATAGGTAATGAAACTATAAGGGAACACAGTGACATAAAATTTGAGTGTTAATCTGGGGACCCTGTAGGGAAGTCCATGTAATTGGATAGGCATACACGGGGTTTCAAAGATATTGGCAGTGTTCACTTTTTTTTCCACTTTCTTAAACTATGTGGTAGGTACAATTTTTCAAAGCTCTACTTTAAAATTTTCCTATCTATTTTATATAAAATTCTGTAATGTGATATATTACACAATGGCAACAACAAAAGGTTTTAAAACAAGGGGAGAGCAAGAAGGGTAAGGGGTTTGATTCAATGAGTATTTTATTGAATACATACTATACCAGTTCTATAAAAGATACAGGTAAGACTCCAGCTCTGAGGAACTTAGAAGGATGAATATAATAAACACTGTGGCAGGCAGAGGTGACAGGTGAGGTGGGTGGGGCAGAGGAGAAGGAAGTTGAAGGATCAGGAAAAACACACAAGTAGGTGGTATGTAAGCGGAGCTTTGAGGACGGAGTAAAATTCCAGGTAAACTGAGAAGGAAAGGCATTGCAGAGTGAGAAAACAACATTAACGGAAGGAGCAGAGGGTGGGGAATGCTGAGGAAACTGTCTGCTGGCCCAGAGAAGCAATACAGAGAGTTAAAAGCAGAGAGTCTGGATTAAGTCAACCTATACAAAGCTTTGAAAGCCACACTGAGAAGTTTGGCACTTAGGAGGAGAGGAGGAGCATTATCTCAGCTCTGAGTTAGGACGATAATTCTGGAGTGACCTGGGGGACCTAAATATCTGTGGCAGGCAGAGCAGTTAAGGAGACTGTGGTAGTGCTTTAGGGTGCTTGAAGTTAGCTAGTGTTGGCAGGAGTATAAATAAAGTACTGAATATGAGAGCCACTGAAATTCAGGTAGGACACAGCAAAATACAAATGTACTTCAAAAAAAAAGTTTGTGAACGATAAATTTAATAATTAATGAGGTTGATATAATATCATATATGTAGATACCTAGTTAAACATTTAACTATATTTTGCATTTTTTTTTTCTGGAGCGAAAATATTTTGTTTCAGATTTCAAGCATTTTTATAGACTTTGAAAAGTTCTTAGGCCCAAGACCTGTCATCATAATGTTTACTGAATGAAACAGTCTGATAGATAAGGAAAAATTACTGATAAATTTGATTATATAGAAACCGAAAACTGATAAATCTGAACACATAAAAATTTAAAACAGCTATACCACACACACATGAAAATTTGATATACAAAAATAAACCATAAACTGGGAAACATTCACCTATACAACACAGACAAGAGCTAATGTCCTTAATATTTAAAAAAAAAACAAACAACTTAAAAAAAATCAATCCAAAAGAACAATGGGCAGAAGAATTAGAAGAATCAAGAAGACACCTATGTTTCTAGTCTGGGAGAACACATAGATGTAGCTGACATCTCTAAAACAAGGAATCAAAAGAAGGAAGAGGAGCAGTTTTTGGAGAGAAATAGAAGCAGAAAATTATTGAGGGGGAGAAATAATATTGGTTTGGGACATGATAAATATGTGGTGTTGGGGGATGTCTATATTGATAAGGTCAGACAAGAAGGTAAAATTTGAATATGAAAAAAGAAACCAATAACCCACCCACCCCATACACACTGCTACCTCCATTTTCTGGAATTTGGAAAAGACCCTGGTGTTGGAAAAGACTGAGGGCGGGAGGAGAAGGGGGCGACAGAGGATGACAAGGTTGGATGGCATCACTGATTCAATGGACATGAGTTTGCGCAAACTGGGAGATAGTGAAGGACAGGGAAACCTGGCATACTGCAGTCCATGGGGTTGCAAAGAGTCAGACACGACTTACTGACTGAACAACAACCTCCACTTTCATCGTCCTGTGTGACTTTCTGAAGCTGCATGTTTTTGGATCAGGATTTTTAGCAATTTTTCTGAATACCCCATCACATGTTTATATTACATGACTTGATTGGCCAAAGAGTTACCTACCTAAGGTGGCTTCCGTTACCATGCTAGAGAAATACTTTTGAAAGAGACAGTGTTCTTACCAATAGACACATTTATGTGTTTGGGAAATAAAAAGCTTTAAAGGCAAAGATTGTTAATGCCAGTTATTACATTTTCACCTGTATTTTTTTTTTAAACTACAATTTACATTCATCCACTTTGGTTTTTGTTGTTGTGAATCACTGAACATATTTTATTATTATTCTACATTATCTTTACTGGGTTTTCTTCTTCCTGTAAACAGACTTTACTCTTCACTAGCTCTTTAAAAGCACCATTAGCAAACCTACTTACAATGATTATCCTTTACCACACCTGGCCTTATCTCTCCACCATGCTTTCAACAGACTACTGCAGTGAGCTTGTTATCAGAATTACCTGGAGACACTACCCCACAGTTTCTGACTGGTAGGTTTGGAGCAGGACCGAGAATTTACATTTCCTAACAGGTTCCCAGGTAATGCTGATACTGCAGATCTGGGACCTCACTTTCAGACTCAGGGCTCTACCAGCGTGCCTCCTCCCTCATGCTATTTGCCAATTTTCACAGCTAGAGCCACTTAACTCACACATGTAGGAAGGAATACAGGCCTCTCATTGGTTCCATGTGACGTAACTTTATGTCGGATTTGATGCGGGTAGCAGACATAACTCTGTCTGCCTTTGCTGAGTTTCGGCTCCCACACCTCATTTCTTTTTGGATTCCTTGCTGGACATGCTATTTCCTCTGGGACTAGGACACTGATTTTGCTTGCTCAGTTCCTTCTGGAAGCTGAAGATGAGCAGGTAAGTTCACTTCCTACTTCTGGGAATCTACCTGGTTGCCTTCTGGACATTTGCTTTACAGTGTTGGTTTGCCTGCGCTGGTTTCTTTCCGTTGCTTATTGTTAAGACTTTGAAGTTTGCCTTTTTCTGTGCCTGAGTCTAGTGTCTTGAGTCTGGCGTTCCTGGGACTGACTTCAAATATCCAGGCTACTACCCTCTCTGCTTTTCAAACAAGGGTTATTTATTCGGTTGAACAACATTGTTGCTCTTTCTATGACTGCTGCCCATTCTTTCTCTATTTTCATTTCTATAGAGGAGCTTGGAGGGCTACAGTCTGGAGTTGCAAAGAGCCAGACACGACTGAGCAACTAACACAACACAAGTGTTTCCAGACCCCTCAACTCCAGGCTCCATCTTCCTCATGTTCTGAGCCTCAGGACTGGCTTGGTCTTTTCCCTCTGTAAATGATTACTTTTCTGGTAAGATCATGCACCTTGGCTGGCAGGTTCTAATGCCAACTACACGTATGGCTTAGATCCAAGTTAGCCAACTCTATTTTTTCCTTTTTAAACTGGTGTAAGGAGGTCTATGAGTTTGCCATGCAAAGTGTAGTCTGAGGATCAGTGGGCTTTTAGCATACTAGGGGAGCTTGTTAGAATCGGATGCATTGCTCCCACCTGAGACTAACTGTGACTCAACCTTACCAGTCACTACTTTTTCCAACTTCCTTATCTCACCACTGATGTAATTTTACAAACCTATATTGGGTGAGTTTCCTGATGACAGTATGAACTATAACCTATAATCCATGATTCTCTAGGAACCCAGAATCTGTGTACATCTCACAT